GTGGGGTCGCTCAAATCCTCACGATGCACTGAGGGCAGTGGAGACACTGTGCAAGCGGATGGAACAAGAATTGGACGCGTAAGTCTGCTGTTCAAAGGTACAGAAGCAAATAAGAGAAGCTAAAGTGTATAATCGTCAAACGTTGAGAGGAGGCAGGGAAGGACCTGAGTGTAATGAGCTAAATCATTGTACGCTTCTAGTAGAGAAATCAAGGTCTAGATAGACAGCATATGCATTAAACCTGTGGTCCTCCACAAGAAAGGTATTAAGGACAAAAAATTTTTTTTAATGTGCCCTGGGGCTTGTGTGGGAGCACTGCTGTATGTTTTCAGCCTCAGCTCTTCTGGGATACTTTTTTTCATTATCATGTGTATGTGTTGCTAGGAAACAACTTTTTTTCCCCTTTTAAATTTCCACATACTGCCACCCCCCTGCCCCCGCCACCTCGGGGCTCTGGCTTCATGCCCCACAGTCCTCCCTGGGCTCAGCAGGAGCGGGAGAGTGATAGGCCTCTGCTGACCCCTGCCAGCTACCCCTGCCTCCCACCTGACTAAGTTGCCCAAGAACTGGGACCTCATTACCACCACTGTCACCTCCATCCCCCACCCCCAGGAGGCCTCCTTCAGCCACCACAGTGCGTCCTGGACATCTGGATGGACCCCAGCATAAGAGCTGAGTTTCCTCCAGCTCTGGATAGAACCCAGCAATTTCAGAAGCTCAAACTCCTCTCCCAGGGACTCAGATTCTCGGAGATTTAGGCCACTAGGGCAGAGCTTTCCTGAGAGCAGAGGCATAACAACACGGAGAATAGAGGACTCTAACGAGTGAGGACAGAGCTGGGCGTGGACAGTGGGGACCACCAAGGATCAAGCCCTTTGGAGGAGCAAAGTAGGGAAGAAGAGAAGGAAGAGAGCAGACCCAAGGCCTGCCCAACCTCTGCAAAGGGGGCACTTTCTTTTGTCACCTGGAAGGACCTTAACTGAGAGCCATGTGACCCGCATTCTCAGGACCTGGATGGCATAGGACAGAGGTTGAGTGCACTGGGTTTAGGATAAGCTACATGACCCAAGCCAAGTCATCTCACGTTGCTGAGTCTCAGTTTCCTCATCTGTAAAATGGGGACTCCTAATTGCAAGGGGCAGAGACCCTAACTGAAGCCAGCTTAGATAAAAAGGACAACAAATTATGGGAGGGTGAGGGGTGGCCTGCCACCTGGACAGAATCTCACCTCCCCACTCCCTGCCAGCCTCCTCTCTCCCTCTACACTGTCTCCCTCCTGTGGAGACACAGGGGATGGGAAGGAGAATGACCTGTCGGGGTGTCCTACACAACATATCCAAGAGCTGTGTCTTCTTGTGCAACGCTGGACAGCTCAGAAGTGCGCTCACTGCCTTGTGTTGGTTTTCCTTCCTTTTCTGCCTCACTTCCTTTCCCCCTCACTCCTGCAGCCCAGGACTTCAGGCCCAACAAAGCCTTAGGACATAAGCTTTGTCTTGGGCTCTGTTTTCTAGGGAACCTGGGATAAGATAGCTGCTTACAAGCTGTGTGACCTTGGATACATTACTTAACCTCTCTGTGCTTCTGTTTTCTCATCTGTAAAATGGAGTCATAATAATTCCTATCTCACAGGGTTGTAGTGAGTTAAATATACAGACAGCACTTAGAGCAGTGTGTACGCTTTCAGTAAGAATTAGTGTTTGTTATTTTTAGTGCTCTGGGGCTGAGAAAGCTTTGGACACGGGGAC